CACAGTTTATGGGTAAATCGATCGATAACACTAGCAATAATATTGTTACCCTTCACCAAAAATTTAATAAGTTATCAATATACTATGTCTGTACATATATGTATATGTATGTTTATACTATCATTTATCTCAATATTTTTCGATAGTTTCTAGTCATCTATATAATTTTAATAGCATCGTTTTTTCTAGAAATTTACGACAGTTTTGAACCACCGACAGACCATTGAATATTAATGTTTTTCATCCGAACGCATTTTTTGAATATATATAACTAGAATTCACGATAAAAATAATCGAAAATGTAATGGTGCCGACAGTTTCAAGCTATTACTTTTTTGTGAAGTACATTTGACTGAAAATACATTGTTTGGCAACGTCACCAACAAAAGTAGTAGAGAAGTTTTTGTTTGCACTTATTATATTATGCAAGTTTGACGGCTTGTTTCTTTTATGACATAGGGTATCGCAATTTAGTCTATAACTTTCGCTGAATCTTCTAGATAACGAGATCCTTTGTAGATGCTCAGACTTTACTGAGAGATTACTTGATGTGGATTCGGTTTCGGTCTAACGGTTCACGCAAAAATGCCGTATAATTATAATTATAATTATAACTACTTTCCTGCGTAAATATACGTTTTTAACGTTCCCAGAAACTTGGCACTCTCCGCAAGCTAAATGACACCTGAGTGTAAAATGCTCTATTATTAATAATAATAAAAGACGATGTGCAGTAAAGGCAGGGGCGAGACAACACACAATACCACAACACAAAAACTGCATAAATACCTACAATGAAGTAAAACCTTTTTTCCGGTCATTTGATAAACTTCACCGACAACTGTTGCCCGATGCAAAGCAATGCAATGCAATGCCACATTTTTGCCAGCGGAAGACAAGTCAAGACCACCGCTTATTGTTTGTTTGGCTGTCTATCTGTCCGTCCGTCCGCATGCCTTGGCGTATAATTCAGGCAATTGCTTGTTCCAAAGTATCACTTACTCACTGCCAAGCAAGTCGTGTTGCTCTCTTCCTGCCCCATTTCCTTCAAAGCTAGCCCTTTGGCTTCACCTGTTTGCAAGTGCCACATATTCGCTTCCTCGCCCTCATCCCGCCTTGATACGCTTGTTGTCGCACTGTGTTTTTATTTCTCGCCATTACCACACACTCCCTCCTCCGTTGGCTTCTCACTTGGCCAATCCTGTCGGCCAACTACACGAAACTGGCGCACTTACGCTCGATACAAAGTGCCTGGCTGCTTGTGTCGGTGGTTGGCCTGCCCTTGTTCTGTGCCATCTCAATTTTATATGCCCGTTCTCTACCTTCGCCGCTTCGACTGTTTATCGCTTCGTCGTTGTTGCTTGTATTGGCTTTTGGATGGCAGATAGCAGACAACAACATTCAACAACCACATTGCGTGCCACTTAAAGGTTGTTAGTTACACTGAACATACATTCCTTCATTGTTATTATTATTGTTGTTGCTGTTGCTGTTGCCTGTCTTTTGTGTTACTTTGTTGACTAGCTGTCCGTCTGCTTGACGTTTCGGCCAACTGACTAGTTGACTGCTTCACCGGTTATTGCTATTTTGTTCGTTATTCTTTTTGTCTGTCCCGCTTTCGTGTTGTTGCCTGTCGCACGTTTGTTATCTTTAAAACTTGTCGTGTCAACATAACCAAAAACTGAAAACCAAATATTACATTAAAAAAGTGTAAAATAAAGAACAACAATCAACTTACAAAGGCTGTCGGTTAAGTCACTGACTTTTTAAAGTTCCCCCTAACCTCATATGCAACACTGCAGCTGTCAACCGTCATCCATTAATAACCGAAATACAAGTTATCGGTTGGCTTAGTTTATGAAAACGGACAGGGAGGTTGAAAGTAGCAATTATAAAAAATGTAATTAGTCTACATTGTCAGTTAATCGATAAAGTAGTAAGGACAACTAAAATTAATATGCAATTTTGCTAGATACTGTTATGAACAGGATTCGGGATGTTAAAAGTTATGCTCTATCTAGGTAAACAATTTATGGGGGTGCAACTATTATTAACACTACAATTCATACTTTTACAACTGGCAACAAAGTCGATATTTAATCGATATATTTTATATTATCGATTTTAAAAAATATCGATAACTCGATTCTCACATAATTTGTGTGTAAATCGATTGATAACACTAGCAATGAATAATATTGTTGCCCTTCAACAAATATTCAATAACGTTATCTATATATCGTATCTCAATTATTTCAACATTTTTCGGTAGTTTGCCCCTACTAGTACAACGCTACAAATGACAATTTACCTATTGGTAAATATTAGTAGTGCCGAACTATTGGCAATAATACTGTTATCGTTGACTAAAAATTGGATGTCATCGAAATATTTTTTATACTAACGTTTTTTTCTAAAATTTACGTAATTCTACTCAGTGAATACACTTCAGAGCAATAAAATAATGTATAGGTAAAACTAGAAAGTGCGAAACACTAGATAACACTAAAATTAATACATTTACCACTGGCTACAAATACGATGAAAAATCGATATACTTTTATTTGTTATCGATTTTCTTATAATTGTCGATAGCTTTCTCTAATTACTACATATGTATAAGCGAAGAGAAATTTTATTGGTAAAACAGGTATCGAATTATTGATTACCAAAAATTCGATAACGTTATCGATCTTTTTTTTTACAATTTTATATCTAAAATTATCGCCAGCCTTGCCCATTACACATGAGTAGCAGAGAAACAGAAAAATCTAATGTTGGCGATATCGATAGTTTTTTGAAAATATTGGAAATCAACGATAGCTTTGAAATAGAGAGACAATTGATAGTACTATTGTGTTTAAATTTTTACTTTAAAGAGGTAGGTATGTACTGTTAAATTTTACAACCACAGCATATTAACAAGTTTTGAAGAAGTTATCGATACTTTTGGATATTTTTAAGAAATAAAATGTCCATATGTTCGACGATTGGAATTTTACTCATTACAAGTATACTTGTATAAATGACTTTTGAAGAAAACAATTTGTTTTTGAAAGGTATAGAATTATTTGAAAAATTGCTGGTCCCAATCGAAAAAAATATGCAAACAATTTTTTCTGCTTTATTTCGACTCATAGACTTATCAAACTGCCCGCGTAGCATTTAAAACTATAAAAAAAGTTGCAAGTATGAGAAACATCGCAGATGTGGAATCCAATCGATTGACAGTGCAACACACACTTATGCATTTATAAGCATGCTTGTCTGCAAGCATGTTTCCGAAACTATATGTAGGTTGGGTGCCTTTTTATGAAAGAATCAACACGACCTCTGCTTGTTTGTTAAGGCATCCACTGGAGCAGACAGCCGCGTGGCACGAATGCCTTGCGTCCATACCCTTGCATATGTCACACATCACACACACACATCGACATATCTGTGTATATGAGGTACACATGTGCATAAGTTTTATTTACTTATGACTTTGTACACGCGCTTGTTTGTAAATTTTTAGCAAATAAGTCATTGGCATGAATAAGCGTTTGACCGCGGAGAACTAAAAATTTCCGATGAATATACCTATGTATTTGCTTATGAATACAAAGTGCAATTAATTCCTTTTGTTTACCGTTGTTCTTTTGTTGCTGCTTGCGTTTTTTGTGTTCACGGTTATTTGCTACACCTTAAGAAACCCGAATCTTCTATGGTTTGGCAATGTGTCGCGCTTAGTTTCCCAACCATTCGAAAGTCACTAGAAAAATTTTAATTTTGTAAGATTTTACTTTAAATTTCGAAAGGTAGCCACTCTACCAAACCACCAATTTTGAATTTAAGAAATTCGAGGCTTTTCCTTTAATTAAGTTTATGTGGCAAAGATGGGAGATAGTGTTGTGGCAAGATTTCTAAAAATTCAAGAATTCGCTTTTAAAACTGAGTAATCCGTTCGATGGTAAATTCTTTGTTAGACGATATTAAAAAATAATTTTTGCTTGTCGGAAAAATGATTTAACAAAACAAAAATTTGTTGGAAAAATGATTTTGATTAAATGATTTTTAAGGACAAAAATAATTTCCAAAAATTCGAAAACTTTTGTTTTGCATAATGTACATTTTAGGATCCTAAAAAACAGTATTGAATTGGTCGAATACAGAAAAAATTTGGTTTCTCTGTCGAATCCGCAGTCGTGCCTCATCGTTCGGGTTAGTTAGGTGACATGAACTTGAAACACATTTTTTTTTCGAGACTGTATTTATCAAATCGGACGATGATGGTATGTTGTTGTAGCGGCGGAAAACATCCTTAAGGTAATTTGGAGAAATGTTGCAGAGTTGACAGTCCTTCACCGCATAAAAACTCGAGTCCATTCCGGTTACGTGAACCCGACTTACGACTCTTATAAACAATTTACTACTAATTTTCCAGTAAAAAATTAAAATTTTTTTCAAGTCGGCCATTTTTTGAAAAATGTATCTAAAGCTGAAAACATACATACTCGACTAGCAAGTCTTATGCAGATAAGGATCTCATATTTTATTTTTATTTTGTTGTAGATAGCATGAGTTGTTAGAATCACTGCTGCCTATCGAGGCCCTCTTAAAAAATATGATTCCGTACATTTAATCAGTGGCAGTCATTTTTAAATCAAAATGTCAATATAATTTTTTTTGTATATGTACTCAAATATAAGCTTAAATAAGCCTGAGCGAAAGATATTATTATATATATATGTATATATATTATATTTATAATTTTTACCTTTTCTTTTACTCTCAAAATTAATTGCCAAAGTTAGGACGGTTTTACGCCGCTAGGCTGACTTAACTCCTTAACTAAATTGTAATTAAAGTAAAATAATCGAATGTTTTTCTTTAAAGGTATTATTTACTGAAGAAAAAAGAATTAAAAATAAAAAAATTTTATTATTCCAATGTGACCTAACCGCTGATTTATTATATTATACCTTATAAGAATTTAAAAATTTATTTTCTTCCTTCAGATGTTTCTTCACTCACCGAACTTGCTGCACGCTGCGTCGCTTCATATATCCCCTTTGAATTGGTCGAACACGTCTATCCGCCCGTACCGGAGCAACTGCAATTGCGCATTGCTTTTTGGAGTTTCCCAGACAATGAAGAGGATATACGCCTGTACTCGTGCTTGGCCAATAGCTCGGCGGATGAATTTAATCGCGGCGATCAGCTGTTCAAGACACGCGCCGTCAAAGACACACTACAAATCGGTTCGTACTGAGATATTAATAATTGCCTCGAAAAGTATATAAATTTATGTTTTGTTTGCTTGCAGGTTTTCATTTATCTGCCACTGTAGTTGGTCAAACGCCACGTGCCCACTTCAATGTGGCCGTCACCTTCGATCGCAGGCGCATCTCGTCGTGCAACTGTACTTGCACCTCGCCCGCCTACTGGTGCTCGCACGTGGTTGCCGTCTGTTTACATAGAATTCATAATGTAAGTCAGCAACCAATTACCAAATTTAACAGTTATAAATAATAATTTTATGCAATTATTATTATTTTTTTTGTGCAGCCCCTAGAAGTATGTTTACGTGCACCCGTCTCCGAATCATTGACGCGTCTACAACGCGATCAATTGCAGAAATTCGCGCAATATTTAATCAGCGAATTGCCGCAACAAATACTACCAACAGCGCAACGTTTGCTCGATGAGCTGCTCAGCTCACAGCCCACTGCCATAAATACAGTGTGCGGTGCGCCTGATCCGACAGCTGGTGCTTCTGTACACGATCAGACTAGTTGGTATTTGGATGAAAAGACATTGCATGCTAATATTAAGCGTATTTTAATTAAATTCTGCCTACCGGCACCCATAGTTTTTAGGTAAGTTGAAGCGGCACGACAGACCTTTCTTTCATATATGTACTTGTACATATGTATTTATATTATTACTTTCTTATACTTTTAGCGATGTAAATTATTTAACAAACTCCGCACCACCGGCGGCTGCCGAATGGAGTTCACTGTTGCGTCCGTTACGTGGACGTGAACCCGAGGGCATGTGGAATCTATTATCAATCGTACGTGAAATGTATAGACGTTGTGATCGTAATGCTGTACGCCTGCTGGAGATCATCACCGAAGAGTGTATGGTGTGCGATCAAATATTAATATGGTGGTTCCAAACGAAATTATCACTGATGATGGGCTCGCATGGGCATAGCGGTGGCAAACACTCGAATACACATTCGAATTCGACAGCCCTCCAGCATGCATGTAGCTCGCTGTGCGATGAGATTGTAGTGTTGTGGCGTTTGGCGGCGCTAAATCCCGGCTTGGCGCCAGACGAACGCGATATGTTGCATGCACAATTCACTGCATGGCATCTAAAGATACTCGATCGTGTGGTGAAGTGTCGTATGATGCCACCGTCGTATAGCAATAAGCACCAACAGAATTCAAGGTAAAGTAATTTTAAATTTAATTTGATTTTTAATTAAGAATTGCGTTAGTGTTGCAGTTAGCATTGCTGCAATTGTAACCCCTTTATAGGTTGGCGATTACTTTGATTGTAATCATTAAGTTCATTGTATTTATAATAACAACTTGGAAATTAATTTATACTTTTCGACTACTACATCTGCATTTATCGAATGTTTTAAATTACAATTACAGTAATCATAATCATTTCGATTGTTGTAATCGTAATTTTCAATTAGAATCATCATGATTATAATAATTAAATAATTACTATCCTAAATTAGTTTTGCTATAATTGTAATCGTCGAATATTCGAAATTACAATTATTGTAATCATAATCATTTCTATTGTTGTAATCGTAATTTTTAATTATAATCATCATGATTATAATAATTAAATAATATTTGTATATCTTATATAAATTCTGCTATAATTGGCTGTACTTACAATCCTTCTGTATTTGAAATGACAATTGCAGTGATCATATTCATTATAATTGTTTAAAATGATAATTTTTGATTACAATAATAACGGTTATAATTAAATATTATACATCTGTATTAAAAATCACAGTAAGTGTAATCATAACACTACACTATCATTTCTATAAATGTAATCATAAATGTTAAAACATGACTGAGTATTTAAAATAAAAGTATTCGCATTCATTCGTATCCTAAACAACAAGCTTTACATGAGACATATATATATAACTATTTAATTTTCTAATTCTTTATTCTTCCTCCTAGATCTGATGCCGAAATGTTTGTTGGATTCAAGCCAGCTATCGAAGCTTGCTATTTGGACTGGGAGGAGTATCCAATACCGGGCATTACACACACGCACGATACCAATCCCATATATTACAGTCCTTTCACATGTTTCAAACACACCGATTCAAAAAGCGAAACGAATAATGGACAACTTAATGCTACACAAGCGGTAATGGCAAACAATAAACACTATAACTACATTAGTTCATCTACAGATCACGGCTCACGTGGCACATTCAAGCAACGTCACGAACGCCTCTTCGTTGAACGTTTCTACATTTCGTCCAGCAATAATTCGAGTAACTCCTCAAGCGATAGCGTACATGCGCGTCTACATCAAGGACTTGGCTCTGCTGGAGTATCCAGTAACACGGGTGGTGTTAATCCAGCCACAACGGATGGCTCAACCAGCAATGTTGGCGCAATGGTCGCAGGCGCTAGCAATGCTTTGGCCAATGTGGAAGCCGGCAATAGTTTACGTACAGAAGCTGGACCAAGTGGGAGTGGTCATGGTGGTGGCGGCGGCTGCGGCGTACCGGGTGGTGGTGTCACCATCAACAGCATCAGCGGCCCTTCCGCTATAGCAGATTTGCCACGCTTACCGATGAGCAGTGTCTCTGGCAGTGGTGGCAATGTTGGTGTCGGTGCCGGCGGAGGTGGCGGTGATGGCAATCGTTCCAGCGCAAGTAGCGAAGGTTTTTGCGAGAATGACGACTTTGGCGGTGACAGCAGTAGTAATAATCTTTGTGCTGAGGGTGGACAAACGCTTGAACCGGCACATGCATCCATTGTGGGATCCGCAATGCGCTTGGAGCAAACGGATGCACAACGCACTTTTACCGCACTAGGTACAGACGTACCAGTCATGGTTGGGCCAAGCGGTGGTTCTTCATATCATATACAAACGACCACTTCACTCTCATCCGACACCTCATCGTCTACTTCAAGTTCGTCATCGAACTCATCATCGTCATCGATGTTAATGGGCGCAGCCGGCATAGATACCACACCCGAAATTACAGCAAAAAGTAATAGCAACAAGCTCATATCTGTCGGGGATGTCAGACGTTTATCGAAAGATGAATCATTCTCCTCATCCTCGGATGAGTTCACCACACAAGATTCGCCAACGGCGGTTAAGCCAGCTGAGCTAATAGCAGTGGCGAGCACATCAGCGGCGGCTTCGGCAGCGGCAACAGCGCAAACGTCGTCGTCAATAGTACAGACACCAACATCAAACAATAAACAAACGCCGCCTGCTAACACATTCACTGCTAACGTGCATGCAGCTGCAGTGGCAACAACAGCGAGCAATCATCCATCTGCGTCCACTTCAAACGCAGCACAACACGCGACCACAGGTGGCAACGAGAAGCCGCACATCTTCTCAAATGTGCGTCCCACTGAGGATGCCTGGGATATACTTTTGGCGCGCTCGGAAGGTCTACATGCGCACGGCCATGGGCGAGAAGCATGCATATTAGCTGTACGCTTGGCTGAAGAAATGTTAGCGAATCCACCGAATTTGATGGTGGAATTGCCGCAAATGCCGAAGCGTAAAGGTAAAAATAAAAACATAAACCCCATTTCACATCACTTAACTGTGCTGGCGTCGTCCACTTTGTCGAAATGTGCATTCCTGTGTACGGTACTGTCGGAGAACTCCGAACACTTTCACATTGCATTCAGAATTTGTCTATTTGCATTGGAAATGCCACGCCCACCAGCCAGCACAAAACCGCTTGAGGTCAAATTGGCCAATCAGGAAGCTGACATACTAACGCTACTGAAGAAAATACCGCTTAATGAGCCGGAGCTCCAAGTGATACGTGAACGTGCTGAATGCCTGCGCAACGGCACTTTAAAATCACGCGGCGAAGCATTGCTACCCATAAATCTGGCGACATTTATATTCGATGCGCTAGTAATGCCCTTGATAGTGGTTAAAGAGCCACGCAATCCCACACTAGACGTGATGTATCGTCTGCCATCCGATGAAAATTTAGGTTTCGAAGCCGCTGTGGCCGCTTTGGGACTGAAAGCAAACGTCTCGGAAGCTGAACATCCATTGCTGTGCGAGGGCACACGTCGTCAACGTGGCGAACTGGCATTAGCACTACTCTGCTATTACAAAGATGAACCACGTAAAATCGCAAAGATCATGGAGAAACTACTGGATCGTGAGATACATGTACTGTTGAAATCCCCATTGCTGCCAGCCTACTATTCGAACAACCCGCCTGTGCGTACAGCTGCATCGTCGATGTCACGTCGTGAGGAGCAAGAGTATGCTAATGCCATCAATGGTGGCGCACACAATGCCAATCTCAATGATATGTTCCCATCGGACTACGGTTCTGTAGGTGGCAATAGTCGACCGCATAGTTCAACCAGCGCCGAATTAGAAGTAGGCATGAGCGCATTGAGTGTTTCGTCGTCACAAGGGGGCGGCAGTGGCACACTAACCAGCGCTACTGGCAGCAATCAACCGATGACCGGGCCGAGCGGTCAAACAAACGTCACTGGCGGCGCCACCAGTCGCAGTAAGGATAGTCGTTATAAGGGTAAGCGTGCTTACCCGTCTATACCTAATCAACCGTCGGAGGCCAGCGCACATTTTATGTTCGAGCTGGCTAAGAATTTGCTCATCAAAGCAGGTGGCAATTCATCCACATCGCTATTCACACAAGCCACCACCAATCAAGGGCATCATGGCCCACATCGCGCACTTCATATATGCGCCTTTCAGCTAGGTCTGTATGCGCTTGGGCTGCACAACTGGGTCAGCCCCAATTGGTTGTCGCGCACCTATTCGTCGCACGTCTCCTGGATACTTGGCCAAGCAATGGAAATTGGTGCACCCGCCATCAGTTTTCTCATCGACACGTGGGAGGGTCACTTAACGCCACCCGAAGCAGCGGGTATGGCCGATCGTGCTTCACGCGGCTGGGACAATAATATGGTATATCCGGGTGCTGAATTGGCGCTGTCCGTGTTGCCACACGCTGCAGCGCTCAATCCCAACGAAATTCAACGCGCCATCCTGCAGTGCAAAGAACAGAGCGATCACATGCTTGAACGCGCCTGCATCACCGTTGAGAACGCCGCCAAGGGTGGTGGTGTCTATCCCGAAGTGCTATTCCAAGTGGCACGTTACTGGTACGAGTTGTATGGTCATAATACACCGAACAATGAACACGAACAACATGACGATCATTTGGATCATTCGGCGGTTAGTCTGAGCGCGCTCATCGAATCGCATCAGCATCATGAAATGCAACAACAAATGCAGGCGCAAGTGCAGGCACAACAGCAGCCGCAAGGCGGCATGGTCGGTCCACCGCCAGTCATGCCGGCGGCGCCACCGGGTGGCCCCAATGCACCCGGTCAGCCGGGACAGGTTGTGGTCAGTACAGCGCCGCAACCCTTCCAGCAAGGTGTTGCCACGCTGGCGCCCATAGCCTTGCCACCATACCCGCCGTATAGTTTTTGCCAAAATCTATACCATCACAATATCACCACCTATCCGGGCAACCAAATGCAAATGTACATTTCAGCCGGACCACCGCCACCGCAAGCGTATCCAGGTTATCCGTCAACACAAGCGCAACAGCAAAATGCAGCTAACATACAGCCGAGTGGCTCTGCACAGCCCAACTCACCGTATGTGCATCAAACGAGTGCGCCGAGTGGTGGTTTTCCACCACAAATGCCACCGCAACAGATGCCACCACAAGCATACCAGGGCATGCAATGCGGCGCTGGTGGCGCGCCACCTACCGGTTTCCTGCCACAACTCGGCCAAGGTGGACAGCCGCAAATGCCGCCACAAAATATGCAAAAAGTAGCCGCTGCTGCCGCCGCCGCAGTATACTTTGCGCCACCACCACAGCATCCCGCACAAGCAGCGGCCGCCGCCAACGCGGCTATGGCACAGCATCAAATGCGTCAGCAACAGCAGCAAGGTGTTTATCCACCGTTTGTGCCGCAGCCGCCGGTACATGCGGCGCCTCCGCAACCGCCCTTGCGTCAACGGCATCCACATCAATTCACGTAAGTGCAATAACGGTGCATTTTTTCTTTAGAAATGTGCAATTTTAATTTTTATTTTTTTTATCTGCAGTTCAACGCAATTGCGTTATCTACTCGCCGCCTACAATGTGGGGATGTTGGCTATGGAGACGTTGGCGCGCCGCGTGCACGATGATCGTCCGCAAGCGAAATACGCACGCAATCCACCTTACGGCGAGGATGTCAAATGGTTGCTGCGCATCTCCAAAAAATTGGGCACTCAATATCTGCATCAGTTCTGCGTCTGCGCTGTTAATTCGATTGTCAGTCCCTTTGTGTTGCACGACGTTGCCATCGAATCGGCGCACTATCTGGGTCGTAACAATCACCAGTTGGTAATGCAGCATTTGCGCTCGGCGTTAACGCCTCTGGTGCAGAAGTGTCAACAGATGTAAGTTGCACTGCAATGAGAGCTTTTTGTTGTTTTATAAAGTAGTTGTTAATTAATATTTCTTAATTCTCTTGCAGGTACATTCAGTGCATACATCAGAAGTTATACCATCTGACTCAGGCTGATTATGAGGACTTTGCAAGCATTATCTTAGCAGCGCGCGCTGCGTTCCAAATTACACCAGAAGGCAATGCGCAGTTTAAGGATTGGCTGCAATCGATTAAGAGGTAAATAGCAGTCAGGTTTAATCGATGTATAACGGTTCTTGGAATATGTGAAAATAATTTCTTTTGTAGCAAAAATAGTTTTTACTCAAAATTCCCATCTTGAAAGTACATCTAAAGGCAACGGCTTTAGTGTTTCCACAGTCTTTAAATTTGAGGTTATGTCTTATTATATAAGGTTGAAGACTTAAGGACTTGGATTGTTTGTATATTCACTATGGACTCAAAACTATTTGAAGGATAGTTTTCAAATTGGGTTACAATAATTGCTTTTAAGGGAGAAATGTTAATATTGGGAACCTCAATATAAAGGGCTTCAGTAATTCTTCAAAATAAAAATTTTAAAGCAAAAAATTTAAACCAATATCGGCAACAAACAGAAAATATTCCTAAAACATATTTTGTAATTGTTGCCAATTATTGAAAAAATAATAATAGTAAAAATAATTCAAAATGTGTTCCAAATGTGAAGAGTTTTAGAAAATCTGTCGAAAAATATTAAACCAAGAAAAAACGTTAATTTCAGTTGATTTTGATCGGTCAATTTGTATGGCAACTTTATGGTATAGCTATCCGATCTGAGCAATTTTTTCGGAGATTGCTGCGTTGGCAATAATTCTTGCCCAATTGAAGATATATCGTTAAACAAAAAAGTTTTCCATACAAGGACTGAATTTTGATCAATCAGTTTGTATAGGAGCTATATGCTATACAGGTCCGATATCGGCGGTTTCGCCAAATGAGCAGCTTCTTGGAGAAAAGAGAACTATGCTATATCGCGTATATACAAACAGAGGGATATGGCTGTCGATGTTGCGATTCAGCTCGTTACGCTGATCATTTCTATAAAAATTTTATAGGGTCTCCGACGTTTCCTTCTGGATGTTACAAACCTTGTGGCAAACATCATATACCCTGTTCAGGATATAGAAAATAGGAAATTTAGAATAGAGTTGCCAACTGAAAGATATTGAGATATATGTATATTTGATTTCTGTATAATGTTTTTTTTACAGTAATCGATAAATTTTTTGTCAAGCACATTTTCAAAAATAGTGTGCTTACCTTCAAGCTCCAAGACTACTTCAATGGGTTTGTTGAAAAATTTTTTTGTTTTTTTTTTTTTTAATAAACTTCTATATAGGTATCACAATGGACCGGCATTCCACGCTGACTAAGTGACATCCTTTTTGGCGTTTGTAACAGAATCAACATTTTAACCTAACCCAACTTATATTTCATTCAGGGCTTAGCAAAATATCAGCAAACTTTTCACGTCCACATATAAATTTTGACCACCCTAATGAAAATATCTACAATTTTCTTCCCTCTAGATCGAAATCGTGCAAAAAGGAATTGTGGACGCAAATCAATGCAGCTCTGCAAAGCAATTCCAAATGACAAAGACTTGATTCATTTAGTTTATCGCATTCAACAACGTCAGCACCAAAAATCGACAACTACTTTTCCACCAATAATTCAACGACTTCGACAACAACATCGGCAACGAGCGCAGCAAACGTCCATAACACGGCTATGGACAATACAACAACAAAAAACACGATAGAAAATGTCACCAACACTAATGCTGCAACCACAGCGACGGTTGCTAATGAAGCTGTTGGCAGTAGCAATAGCTGTAGCGGTGGTGCTGGTGGTGGTCGTAGCAACGGCAGCAGCAACAACAATCAGAACAACAGCAATCATACCAGCAGCACTCACAATGGCAGCGGCCACAGCAGCAACACACAGCATAACAGCAGCTGCAGCAGACACATAAAAACGAATATGAGCGGTGCCGGTGTGCCGACATTGCCCGCAGCAGCGTTACCCTTATCAGCAACATCCGTAGGCAGCACACCGCCGAGCAGCGCTGAAGCGACAAATACCAACAATTTCGCTTACTACACGGGTGTCACTGAAACGGTGGCAGCAACGGCTGGCCCAGCAACAACACAGCGACATGCTGTAGCAGCGACGCCACCACCACCACTCCCACCACAAACGTTGCCACCATCATCTGCTGCGTCTTCATCAGCATCAGCGCATTATCCAACACACCAGCAGCACTATGCCACGGGCAACACAGTGGCGCCACTGTCGGATGCCTTTCACCACCAGCAGATGCAGCTACAGCTACAACAACAATACGAGCAACACTATCAACTGCAAACAGCTTACTATCACCAGCAGCAGCAGCAGCAGCCGCCGCCGTCGCAGCCGCCGCAAGAAGACCAATCCACATCGTATGTGGCGCCACAACAACCAGCCCCACAATACCAACATGTGGCGGCAACAACAACAGCGCATGCACATGCAACGCGCAGCAATAGGCAAGCTACGCCGTCGACAGTCACACACCACGCAACGAACACATCACAAGCCACGATAACTCACCAGCAGCAGCAGCAACAGCAAACTGCAGCAATGGCACACGCGCTGACACACACCACACAGCAACAACAACAGCAACAGCAGCAGCAAATATACCCAACAGCGATGCTGGCCATTGCCACAGCACCGCCGCCACCAACAACATACGGCGTCAGCGGTGCCAGTGCTGCTTCCGCTCCTTTAGCCAACATAAGCACTGTAAATGCAACACAAAACGTAAATGTCATTTCGGCCGCGCCGATTGTGGTGGAATTCAGCAATTTCCAACTAAATTGTATGCGCACAACGGCAACAACGACCACAAATGGAGGCGCTTCAGCAGCAGCAGCGGCGGCGGCGGCAGCAGCAATAGTCGCAACAACGCCGGCGAACAATGACGCGAACCGCGGCTTGGTGGGCGGGCAAGCGAACACACAACATCATCATCATCGCCATCACCATCACTATCATAATGCTGCGGCGAGCAATATGCATGCGCATACACACCAACAAGCGCTGTTGCAACAGACGCAATCACAACAACAACAGCAACAACATCAGCACCAACACCAACATCCGCTGCAAGCAGATGCAGCGCTGGCCGATAGACAACAGCTGCAGCATCAGCAATATGCCCAACACCCGCCGCAGCCGCTCCAGCAACATGCCACACATTACGGTTATCACCAGCCTCATCACCATCACCATCATCAGAATGTGCGGCACTATCATCATGCGCCGCCGCCGCCACCAGCGCCGTTGTAAGGCGTTGAAATAAAGTAGAAATCAGAATGTTGCGCAACATATTGCGGCAACATTGCTGCACACACACACACTGTTTGTTGCCATTGGTGGCTGAAAGTTAATGTTAGCAAAAAAGCAGTAGTTATAGTAATAAAAATAATAATAAAATAAAATATTAAAAATAATTAATAATATTAATGACAATTAAAAAATAATAATAATAATAAATAATAGTAATGAAATAAAATGAAAAAAAAAAAATATTAAAAATATAATAAAACAAATAATAATAAAAAATAATATTAATAACAAAAATATTATTATAAACAAAAAAAATTATAAGTAGTAGTAGTAATAATAATAAAAAAACAAACAAATAAGCAATTTTTGAACTTACCACCGTTTCTCATAATCATAGTTTGCTTTGTTTTTTTTTTTTTAATGTAATTTAACCTTTTCTAAAATGTGTATGAAATATTTTTTTCGTTCGTTCGCTTATTTATTGAAATATTTACACGTTTATAAAGTTCTTTTCGCAATTCTAATTCTGATTTTAATTTTAACACTATTTTTTGCTTAGATTTTTATTGTATGTATATATTTACATACACATATATACATATTTACATAGAATATAACTTCAGTTAGTTAGGGCTGGACTGATTATTTAATGTAAAGCAACATTTACCACATACTTCAGGAGTTTTTTTTTATTTAATAATATTTATTTACTGTATGTGAGCGCGACGCAAATGTTTTTATGCAACATTTACACTTACAATTATTTTATTTGAATAATTAATAATTAATATGGATAATTATTTGAGTAAACAAAGACACGCGAGCGTAATATAATATGTATGCAACAATTGTGGAAAATTTATAAAAACGAAGAAACTAAACTTGTAAAGTTAAAAGTTGAGGGCAGGAATAATAATAACGGTAAAACAGTAGCAACAACAACACGAAAATCGCAAACCGCTGACGGCTGTTTTTCTCTGTTTTCCAGCTGCAATGTGTTCAAAAACAAAGAAAAATTAATTGCTTTTTAAGCATAATTTCAACTCATTGGTAATAAAATTGTAAAAAAATATTTTCGAAGCTGCTGCTTCGCTTACATGCAACATAATTCG